TGGGGGCCAGTGTAGCCAGGCGGCAAGTTTTTGCGCAAAAGCAGTTGCTTTTGTGCAAAATCTTGCCAATGTAGACACAGCCATAGGGTTCACACCAGACCATGACCAGCAGCAGCCTTTCTGCACTGCACTAGTGTCGGAGGGAAGGGATGGGTGCTGGGGTGGGCCGCAGGGAGGTGAGGTAGGAGGTAGGGATGACTTGGCCTGTGTATTTGAGAAGTCATCTCTTCCCTGCAGGAGGGCTTAAATATGGGACTGTCCCTTTAAAAACAGGACATCTGATCATCCTACTTAATAAGGCTAGTATGTTAGGCCTAGAATCTGCTCAGAGAGGTACTCGCCTGTGCCCATGCCGCACCCCACTGACTTCACATGCACTTTTGTGCAGTTGTAAGGGTCAGCTTGTTTACAGCAGCGAAGTGGATCAAGTCCTTAGATTTTATTGAAGACATTTATTACTAAGGAAACACCTACTTGTGCTATTTAATACTAATGCTTTGTTCTAGTGCTAGAGCTAAAAACTGGGATCCAAGCATATCCCCGAAGTGGAAATTCTGAAGAATTCCATAGGTGTCACTCTCTTCTTGGCTCTCCAGCTAAGTAAGCACTTTTCCTCCCATTCCAGCACACAGTTACTTTCCTTCTTCACTGAGGGTTAACAATTTTCAGTCATTCAAACCGAAGCAGCTAATTTATATTCTCACTCTAACTAGGAAATTCTCAGATTGTCTCTGAGCTGTGTTCTACTGATTATAAGGCCAATATTCATGGCCCTAATAAAATAATAAAACTTAATGGTATAGACACAGATTTTAAATGCAATTCATTTGGTAGCTAAATAGCCTTAATTGTTTAACTTTCCTCCCTAGAGTGGCTATAATTTCAATAACTACAGTATATACTTTGCACTATTTTAACTCACATTGGGATTCACATTTAGAGTAGTTTGCTATTTTTGCTATTTCCTTCTAATTGCTTTGCTTCTACTCTCTGTCTCTTCTGGGGTGTGTCTAGACTACATGGCTCTAGTTTACCCGGCATAGGCAAAGAAGTGGGGATTTAAATAATCCCAGCTTCATTAAAATAAACATGGCCGCCGCGCTGTGCCAACGATCATCTGATCCGGCACAGCGTGGCAGACTAGATGCAGCACATTTTTATTTTAATGAAGCGGGGATTATTTAAATCCCCGCTTCATTGACTATGTCGAGTAAGCTACTTTACATGGCTCCGTCGATGGAGCCATGTAGTCTAGACACACCCCTGAATAGGTCTCTTTCCCCTCCTGTTCTGCAGAATCTCTCCTTACCCCAATTCAGCTAAGTGTCTCAAACATTTGTGGTGACACAAAGAGGGACAAGATCCTGCTGGACAGAGACTGAAAGTGACATTTCCTAAACAGAAATTTCTGCCTGTAATGAGTGATAGGTCTCATTTTTCTTTTGGCAGCGGTAATATTTCCCTTTTTCAGTTCTGCTAATTATATGCTGTTACAAGCATATACTGCACAAGCATCTAAATACTATTCTCATTATCACTATTGATACCCTGTTGTCATTAACTTTTTCAATAATCCAAAGAAAAAGTCCATCTAATACCGTGGTCCCCAACATGGTGCCTGTGGGCGCCATGGCGCCCGCGGGGGCATTTCAATGCGCCCTCCAGGTGCTTGGGGCTGGCCTGGCACCGGG